ATATACCATATCAGTAATGTCTGAGACATGTGTTCTTTCTCTTTTCTTTAGTATGGCAGGTGGACTGAGATACTCATTTTTAACTTTGAGAGGAAACATCAAGCCTGCACAACGTGAGGATGAGTAAAATGTACTTCCTGAGTTAAAGTGTTAGCCAAAAAGCTACCTTGGAAGAGACTGAAGATTTAAGTTTGCTTAGCATTGCTGAGAATCTAAACAAGTATATGCTGGAATACATTTGGAATGAGGGAAAAAGTGTTGTCCCTCAGTTACCATAGATGGACACATATCTCATAGGTTCAGAAATATTCTGAATATATATATGTATTTACATCATGAGCTACTTTATAAGAAGGAATGCCATGAGCAAATCCGGAGCTGTGAATTTCTTCATTCACCTATATTTGGTGCTATTTGTGATTTAAACACTGATTCTAGAGTGTAACTATGTTATTATTCTACCTAATCTTAAGGAAACCTGTGAATTCTACTTCAGTTTCTGTCTACTCGTTACGGCAAAACTTGTAAAGATCACAAGGCTTGGTTCAGCATTGCATTATGCCGTCTGTGAAAGCAGATGAAAGGTGGTTATGACTCAGAATGATTTTGGCTATGCATTTGCTCTTGTTTAAGTTACTGTAGAACACAGAGATCAAAGAAGAGGTGTGCCCCAAGATTGCTCCACATGTGTTAACTGAAAAACTAAGGATATGGCATAACGTGTTTGGGATGCGTTTTGTAGACGTTCTCTCTCAATCTTTTCCTCCTCCTCAGTAACATATCAGTATACTGCTGCAAGTGTTACAAGTGAATCGTCACAACTTAGCTGCTGTATCGAGGAAGGATGGAAACAGAGAGAGACGTTTTTAATATTTAAAATTACATATATTTTTTTCTGAGCCAGTACAAAGCCAGTAATTAGAAGTAACAAAGGTAACATCTCTGATGTTTTTTCTAACTTTCTGAAGTCATGATACTAGGTACTAACTACAGGAAGATATATGTGGAAGACTAATTGATATAGGGAAGATTAACTTTTATGTTTCGATGAGAATAAAGGATTGGTGTCCTTCCGTGTCTTATATATACACTGAAGGTTTGTGGTACTAATTTATGTTCAAAATTTACAGCGAGTGAGTATGAAGTTAGCACAGCGGTTAAAAATAAGTCTGGAATCCAGAGTGTGGGGTTTTTTTTGTTTTTGTTTTTGGGTTTTGTGTGTGTGTGTGTGTGTGTTATTATTTGGGACAAAAAGACACTGTTCTGTATCTTTATTTCCTTTTCTGAAATACAACTGGTGGTGCTTACTTGCATTTCCAAGGAGGTAATGTTTAGTCTGAAAGCGCTTAGAAACTGCAGGCTGGAGGACAGCAGAATAATTAAACTTGTTGAATTTTTCCATTCCATACAAGTGTGAGCCAAGAATTTTTAAAAATAATCAAATCAAGATAAGATTTTGGAAGACCTTGGTCCAAGGCGATCTCATGACTTCTAGCCCAGTTTGAATTAAAATACAACAAAAACTGAAAAGGATTTTGTTGTGTGTAGCGTGAATAACCAGACTGGATTAAATCTAAGAAATGGGTCAGTAGCTCCCACTGAATGGTAGGACGAAGAGTGGCTTCAGACATTATAAATTTATTCTAGTATTAATGGTCACAGTGAAAGTTGAAACAGAAGTCTGGGCCCAGCTTCTCACAGCAGGATGTAAGATTGAATGGAGCTTTCAGGAACCTGATCTAGTAGAAGGTATCCCTGTTCATGGCAGGGAGGTTGAAATGGAATGATAAATTTTAACTGCCCTTTCTATCTCAAACCATTTGCTGATTCTTTGAGATGTGACTGTCATATTCTACCTGTTAAAGAGGTGGGAAGGGAATGTGTTATTACAGATATACAGAGTGCTTTTGTTCTAAAGTTTTCCCTATGTACTTTAATAGCTCTAGTATCTTTTGAGCATATTCTTGTATAGGACACCTGTTTCTCCAGATCATTTCAGCCTCCAAAATCCTTGTTTTTGAATCTCAATTCTCTGCAGGACAAGGCATTGTGAGGTTTTCACTGATTTTTACTAAAAGATTATGGAAGCTGTTTAATTATAATACCCATGGACACATATGGGCATGTACTAAATAAGATGTAGTTTCCACAGAGGAACAGATACTGTGTGAATTTAATTATTAATGTTTTGCTTTACCTTTGATAAATAAATAGATGCATATTATAATATCTTTTTTTATTATTATTTATTTCTGTGTGGATGCTTTCAGTCATGTGAGTAGCATAAATATTTGCTTTCTGTATCATTCACTTCTGTACTACAAATGAAGTATTTTCATTAATTCACTCTGTACTGCAGTGGAAGTGATTTTATTTAAATCATGTTCTATACCACGTTTCGTAAGTTCCTTCCTAGTTGCATTTATCTGAAGACCTAGTTCTCACAGATTCTATTATAGTTTTACTCTGGATGGTTGAAGGTTTAGGAAAACCAAAATTAGGTATTATCTATAAGAGCTTGAAAAATTAGGTGTTACCTATAAGAGCTTGCACATGATTGCATCCTTTTCACAAAGCAATTCAGCTTCAGTCATTTACTATTTTCCTCTGTAATTGCAGGGAGAATATTGTTCCAGTAAATGTGCCTGTTAAAACTGGGGTTATGGGCTCAGCCAGACCCCCAGACCCAGTTTTGCATTTTGGAGTATGGGTAATCACTGAAATGGCTATTCAGCTAAGTGGTTATTTCTCTCAGTTAATAAGGCAGTAATTTAAAACTGATTTCTCATATGATCCATCTGTAGATAGTTCTGTCCTTAGGTTTCTGAAATTTCACGTTAGTTAATGAAATACTAAAACAGTTGTAAAATGATATCACTTATTTGCTGTGTGAAGCTTCAGTTTCTTCTTTTGAAACAATGGGGAAAATGATTACAGAGAACTTCAGTCTTCAGAATGTATGTTTAAGCAGTAGTAAGTGGCTTAATTTTAAGAAATACTAGGGTGGCTTCTTTAGTCACATTCCCTTATGAAAGTTTCTTGTGGTTACCTGCTGCTAGCTGCAGAACTAAATTTTCAGAAATCAGTCCAATATTTTTAAATTTAAGCTCTACAGTTGGCTATCTGTATCCACGGGGAACTTGTGTATGTAAACACAAGAAAAAACTAAAATTCTGAGGACAATTTCAAATTAAAGTATAACTGAATTGGAAAGGAATGTTGCACTCTACAGTAACCTGTTCATAATCTTGGTATTATAGGGAGTGCTTACCATTGGACTAGCCGTAGAGAATGAGAAGTACACTAGCCATTAGGAGCTTTCTAGCCACGCTTCTTGCAGTGATTCCTGTGGAGAAACAGAGAAGGAACACCTCAGGAAAACAACAGCAACAATACCAAAAACCTCAGCTGGATGAATAATTCTGCACATTCCTAAGAAGTTACTTTTTTTCCTCCTGGATCTCAGCCTGATTACAGATACTAGGCTAAAGTAAAAGTATCTCAGACTTGTATTCAGTCTCTGGAACAGAAAGATGCAAGGGAGTCAGGGCAGAGCAAAAGAAGAACATTAGCTGTGGAAATTTGGAATTTGACTTCTTAATTTTAAAAGAGGTATTCAGTGCCATTGTTGCATATGTGCAGCTTGTTCAGATTTAACATATTCCTTGAGTAGTGAATGACTTTGAGGACTTTTTGTATGTAAATATTTTGGAGAAGTATTCAGACCCTTGTTGTTATGGCTGGCCTTACTTGTGGATTAAAATTAGGTGTTACAGTGTAGGTAACAGTGATTATACTGCAATTTTAAGACATTAAGAAAATGTAAGTGTCAGGAAACTGGATTGTCATTAAGCAAAGATAGTAATGGTTTTTATATCATTTTGTTCCATTTCTTGTGATTCAGACATTATCTTTTTCTGTAATACGCCCATGTATTGTGGTGTTCTGACAAGTGTTAGTAATATGATACTCAACATACATTTCTGCTCTTCTGTTGGGGACTTCTGGCTGTCAGAGATTCAGATCAAATTTTAAAGATGGTTCATTTTAAATGTGGAGGAATATCACTGAAATATGGATGCAACTTCTTGTTTTATCATAAGTTTGTGCACCAGTCTTTCTCTTTTCCATTTTAAATTGGTCTTTAGAGAATGAATGTTTCAAACCACCATTTGCAAAGAAGAATAAATGCTGTTTCTGTGCTTTCTCTGAGAATTTCCATGTTTTAACGTTAAAAAAAAAACCACAAACTTTTAAATGTGAATTCTATTAATTTATTTTAATATCAAACTTTTTTTTTTTTAGTTTTAATATTATTATTAAAATAATATTTTAATTTGCAGTAAGGCTCTGTCCTTAACACCGCTTCTTAGCCTTATGATTTTTATCCGTGTCCTCAACTTTAATGCTGGTTCAAACATATTTTGTTCAGAAAACTGTAAATTCTATTTCCTTGTTAATAAACTACCATACCAGTTTGTGCCGTAATTTCCCTATCCGTAAAATGCATAATAAACTATTTTCAGAAAACTCTTTTAAAAGTTATATAGTATTTCTTTCACTGTGTAGGAAGAACTAGGTGTCTTTATTAACCTTTTATTATTTAGTCTTCAAATTTGGAGATAAATCTATTTTTCTAGACCAAGCACAAATTCAGTGTGCCCTGGAAGCCTCTGTACTTGAGCTTAACTCTTCATAGCTGTACAAAGCAGTGTTGTTGTGTGTTATCCCCAGGGTCAGGGGTATTCTTATCCAGGGTTTTGGATTAGACCCATCATCAGTCTCTGCAAAACTTAAACAAAATAAAAATATTTTTCTTCTTTTTGTTCTTGGGTAATTTCCAGGAAAGGAACGAAACCTTCCTACTGAAATGAGCGCCATAAATCATAGTTTCTTTCCTTCTTTCTTTCTTTCTTTCTTTCTTTCTTTCCCCTCCCTTGCAGTCATTTACAAATCTGAGTGTAAAACAGAGACATTATTCTGTCCTGAACTCCGGACATTCCTCAGAGAAAGCAGATCACATGCTCTTGTTAGACCTCTTCTTGCTCTGCCAGCGCGCATTTCCCAGGGAGAGTGTTACTGTTGCATGATAGCTTGCTGATTTTGCTCACCATGGAAGACTTGCAGCATCAGCTGCTCATTGTTACTGGAGCTCTGATCTGTTTCTCTGCTCTGCTTAAATGCATCAGATTTATGAAATATATTTTCCCACATGTTTGGAGTGCTTTGCCTCAGGCTTTCTTCCGCTCACTGGGAGAATGGGCAGGTAATGGAAACTTCCTTACATTCTTCTTCTTGTAACTGAGAGTTGAGTCGTTACATTATTAATTGGGAGATTTTCCTCGTGTTCTCTTAACCCACTCCTTCAGAAGGGAACACAGTTTCCACTAACTGTGCTTTGTTTCATTTCTTCTTTTTATCTGCTAGTAAATTCAGTTTTATGAGCCTCAAGTTTTTGCCTACTTGGGGAGAAGAGAAAAATAAACTAGTAGCAATGTGCACACCCAGTGTATGGATGGGGATTCTGTCCCTATTCCTACTTCCGATGTTTTCTCTCTATTGGAAATGCTTTAGTTTTAATAACATTGCCTATCCTCAGTTTCCTGATACTTGAAACAACTAGTTTATGTATAGGATATGGTCTCCAATCTTCAAAGCAACTTGTCTTTGCTCCTGGTGACTTTGCTCCAGCTTCTTTCTTTCAGAATTGGTGATCTATCCTTAATGGTATCATTAACAAGTCAAATCTATTCTTGCCTAAAAACTTCACAGGCTACAACTCAGCAGTGTTTTTTAAAAGATATTACATATTCTCATAAAAATAACAGCAAAGTTTAATAAAAGGATTCTTCCTACTAAACACTGATGTTTTTCTTAGGCTTGGTAGATTGTCAATATGAAGTAAGAATGAAAAGGCAGCGCAGTTTTTGACATACAAGGCTACAGATGTCACCACTGGTGCCATCTTATTAAGAAGTGACCCCAAAAGTACTCTTGTGCTGAAGACTAGATATCATTGGATGGTGTATGTGTTTAATACGCACATCTCACTGTGGATGAGTAAGAAACAAAATTCAGCTCTTTGTGGAAGACCTGGCTAAGCACCAGGTGCTTCTGAAATAACAGTTTTACAAGCCTCAAGTTTTAAGTAGGCCTCATCCTGGTGCATGGGCCTGGCTGGTATGTCAATAGGCAGAAGCACTGCATGAAGCCTGTCTGAAGCCCTGTCCTCCTGGAGGCTGAGAGACTGCCCTTTCCTTCAGTGGACCAGTTGTGTTCTGTCATTTCACAAACATTAAGTTTCCTCAGGCCAGTGGTATTCATTGAGCTTGAGTGGCTTGCAGCATCATATGGAATGTGAGATCTCAAGCCCTGCAAGGGCACAAGCTGGCAGGTGGAAGCTTGCTTTTCATCTGCAGGTCTGCTCTGGTCATGAAGATCCCTAACTTCCTCACCAGGAGATCTCTGTTCCCTGTGAACAGGAAAGTAAATGCTGTTCTCTTGGCAGTGAACCTAGCTGTTCAGACTCACCCTGCTTCTCTGGTTTCTCCGTAAATTTAGAAGTCCTTAATTTACTTTGTTTTTAGACATTGACTCATGATCTGTTTTGCTCTAAAAATGTGTCAGATGTACCTCAGAATTGTTTTAGGGCTTTCCTGCTCCACTTATTTCTCCTTTATTTCTAAGGTGATAAGTATTTTCCTTCTATAGCCCTTCATTGTTATTTGCTTTCATGATATTTAAGCTCTAAGGTGCCTTGCAAATGCCAAGGCTTGTTTACTTTCCCAGTGACACTGAATTCAAAGGTAAATCTTGGGATAGAAAGCACTGTATAAGTGATGTTAAGTTAGTTTTTCCTTACAGAGAGACTTGCTGTGTGAGGAAGTGTACCGCCTCTGGTCACTCCTTACCTCCTGCCGTTCTGCAGTGAACATGCAAGTACAAAATTAAAAGAAATATATGCATATTAGGAAAATTCTGCCATCTCATAGGTAATGGATTTGTTGCTGTCTCCCCATTCAAAGTGAGAATATTGACTAAGCTGCTGCTTTAGGTAGGTTACTGTGGGGAGAGGTTTGCTTGGAAGACTAATAGTGCTAAGTAATAAATGTCAAGTCACAATACAAAGAAAGGATCGATTCAGTGGCTTATTAGAAATGTTTTGATAGTAATGTCCAAGAAATGCAGAATATTAACAAATTCAATAAAGAAAGAGCTAAAGAAAATCTACAATCACCATGATCCTTACTATTTTCTTTCTTCAGTGGTCACAGGAGCAGGAGATGGGCTTGGAAAAGCATATTCCTTTGAGGTGAGATAAATTATACTCCCTTAATTTTACTTCAACAAAATGAAATTGCTATCCATTACCAGTCTTTGCAAGTTAGTAAGAAGAGTCTGGGATTCAAAGCCATTGTGACAAATATAGTACTAATCCTTTCCCTCTGTTCTCAGAATAACATGAGCTGAGTTCTGTGAGGACGCTGGTATTGCATTTAAGAGGAATGTCATTCATGTTGCAGCAGTCCTGTCTGTCTAAGGAAATGAAATGGAAACACCAAGTAATTGAAAAGATTTTGTATTGTCTGTTCACAGTGGCATGTCCTCCAGACTATTCTTTCCCCCCCCCCCCCAGTTTTACAGCTAATGTTTTTTTTCTTTTTTGATGAGGTTGTCCAGCATTGAACATACAAAATGTATTTTGCTATCCTTCACAGCTGCAAAGAAAAGTTTGAGAGATATATTTGAAACAGAGAAAGGAGAAATATACATAAATGATTATGAGCTACAAGTTAAGGAACCAATAAGGATCCATGATATTCTGGTTAGTAATCCATCACTGCAGGAGTCTGCAGGAGGAAGGGAGCTGTGATCTGCCCTGCACTGCTGTGCAGATGCTACAACATCCCCTCTGCTCACCATTGCTGAAGGCAGGGTGGCCTCTGAGACTGTCCTTGCTATGTGTGATAGTGACAGTGGCAGATTTTCTCTTTGATGTCTTTGTTCATAACCAGTTCTCTGTCTGAACTGCACTGCTTAGCTGCAATGAAGTGTAAGTTATTGTCTTCAGAACGGAGACAACCAGATGAACCAGGCAGTAATATGGGAGTCTGGATTAGATGTGATGCATTCTGAGGTGATAAATCATATATGATGTGAAAAAATGTACATAAAACATATCTCTCAGGAAAGGAAAATGAGTTTTCTTTTGATTTAATTGATTAGATTATTAAACCAGTCCTCCTAAGCATATGCTTCATTTAGTCATGCTTGAAACACCTGATTTTGATTAATGGGAGTGGCAATACAATAAGTGCTTTCTAAACTGCATCGGAATTAGAAAACATACATACCACGTATTACAGTATTTATTGTAGTTGTGATAAAGATCATAAACTCTCCTGTGTGAAAGAAGGGAAAACATTGCCTTCTGTCTACTGACTGAGTTGCTGTAATAGTAAGCAAATAGAAAGAGTCTGATGAACATGTAAGTCAGGGAAGATTGGGCTAGGGCTGAAACAGAGAAGAACTATCAGAAATGCTTAATCATGCCCTTAGAACTGAGTCTCCAGGTGTAGTCACACACAGAAGCAGCATGCTGAAATAACTGTGTGAGAGCGCCTGGTGATACTTTAACCATGAAGTCTGCAAGAACCTGAGAGTGTTAGGTCAGAATTTCTGTCTTTGTTCTGCTTCCTTTGTGTTACATAGGTTATACAACTATAAATCCCAGCTAAAAGGCCACCTGTGGCATATGAATGGCCACTTTAGTCATCAGAAATAATAAAATAACTACTATTTCATTATTTTGTTCCTTTCTTGAGAAAGCAGTTTTTGTCAGGAACTGGCAAGTTTTTGTGGAATGTTTCTTCATTATTTTTGGCTTTCTTTTGTTGACTGGGAGCCATTTTTACCCTTGCTGAGATGTATCTTCCTCCCCAGGTGTTCCCATTCATAAAAGTTGTGCTCAGCTAATGCGTGGCACTATTTATGCTCATAGCTTGGTACATCATCTTGCTGGCTGAGATCTAAGCACATGATTGTGTGAGTGGATGGGTGAACCAGCTTTGTTGCTGCTCTGATGTTGGTTACAAAATTCTCTGATGTCAATCTGACATAGGTTCTGCTGATACCGTGGGCTGGTGTGAAGGCAAATCTTGCCTGTAGGCCACAGGGCCACCACGTCTCTGTCCTTGGAGCTTGAGCTCTAAGACCAAGCAAGGGCTGTCCTTCAAACATGGCCTTGTAACAAGACACAACATAATGCAAGAGCTCCACACTCCTGTGGTATCAGAAACTGATACTAGTCCTGGTGATTTGGAAGGATGGTGGCAGTTTCTGCTCAGTGTTTTATGTGGAAACCCAAACCGGTGGCTCACAAATACAGCCCAGGAGACAGAAGTCCAGGCAATGATTACAGTCCTTACTGGGGGAGAACCCCTTTTTCCAAGATTTGTAGGTAGGTAAATACCTCTGCTCACTGGCTGGCTTGGTCTGTGTAAAAAGCTTGAAGTCTCAGAAGACTGATGATTGATGCAGGAGACACATTTTATTATCCTTTTAGGTTCATAGAATCACAGAATGCCTTGAGTTGAAAGCGACCTTAAAGATCATCCTGTTCCAACCCCTCCCATAGGCTGGTTGCCAGTGAGTAGGTGAGGTTGCCCAGGATCCCATCCAGACTGGTCTTGAATGCCTCCAGGAATGGGGCATCCACATCTTCTCTGGGCATCCAGTGACAGCACCTCACTACTCTGAGTAAAGAATTTCTTCCAAATATCTAACCTAAATCTCCCCTCTTTTATTTTACAACCATTCCCCTTTGTCCTATCACTATTACACTGTGTAAAAGTCAATGCTGCTCCTGCTTATAAGTTCCCTTCAAGTACTGAAAGGCCACTACTGTCCCTGTAGGCTTCTCTTCTCCAGAATCAATAAGTTCAGTTCTCTCAATCTTTCTTCATAGGAGAGTTGCTCCTGCTCCTCATCATCTTCATGATCCTGTCCTGGGACATCTTCAACAGCTCTGCATCCTTCCTATGATGAAGACCTCTGAGCTTGTGTTGACAGGCAAACACACCTTGAGTTTTTCCCCTTCTGCATGAATGTCCAGGCTTCCATGAAGGCTCTAACCATGCTCTTTGCACAGTGGGGTGACTCAGGCCTTCTTGAACATAGAGTTCCTATCCCTAAAACTGACTGCTGTGACATTAGAGTATTGGCATTTTGGTTCTAGTTTGCTACTTATTTCAAAAGCCAGATTTCTGTCTCCATCTGCTACATCTGAGACCACCTTGACATCTCTACTCACCTGTTATCTTTTCAGGTACTATTACAATCTTGTTAGTTCTGCTTGCCAACTGCAACAGCATCCGATGTGCTTGGGGAATTTATTCCTGGTGTAGTACCTTAAACGTCCCGTGTGTATGGCCAAGGCCATTCAATATTACAAGATTCATGGGTTAGCCTCTGCATTATTGTAATTGTGAATATTTATTTACTTTCTTATAAATCAGGTTAGTTCTTGTGTCTAAATCAATGTTTTAGCAGACCATTTTGAGGAAGGAACTGTGATCATTTATTAATAAAATCATTTCCAAAATCTCAAGCCTTTCTTTATTTCCAGAAATCTTACGTAGTATTGCAAGTACCGTATAATACAAGCTAAATGTGATCTGAGTTTTTCTGCTCCAATTATGCTGAAGTATTGTCCCGTGAAAGAGAGAAAATCTCTTCCAATGGACAGACAACTATGGTAGGTAGCTTGCATGGTATATTGTTAAGGACTTCAGCTGATTATATCTAGTCATCCATGTAGAATATATCTAATTTGTCAGTGTAACTGCAGTAGCTACAGGTATGGCGCGACTCTATAACCCTTGTCTTGTCTTGTATGAAGCTTTATTGTCTGAAAAATTCCTTTGTTGGAAGATTTACATCAGACTGAGCTGCAAAAACACTCCGGAGAATGCAGGGTGGCTTTATACTAATTCCACGTAGCTTGAGCATTTTCACAGCGTTTCAACGAGACCACAGATCGCAGGATGCTTGATCTTCCTGAACCACCTTTCACAGCCCGTGTCACAGCGGATCTCTACAGCCACAGTCCAGACATGGGCCTGCGTTGGCTCTACACCGCTGGAGGACAGAGCGGTCCCGAGGCCACGTCGTACTGCGCTCGCACCCCTGGGCCGCCCAGCGCGCCACGGGCTGCGCTTGATCAACGCTGCCTCTGTGCAGAGTGCAGCAGAGTTAAAAGCCGTGTAACCTCTGCCGGTGATGGCCAGGAAATTCCTTTTTTAAGTGCAATTCATTTTGTTTGCTTTGAGGGTGCACTTGAATATTGTAGTTAAAATGTCCTGTGAAACTTATTTCTGAAAAGAATGCATGGATAATATCTGAGGAAATAAAAATAAAAATAAAAGAAAAGAGAAAGAAAAATATAAAAAGAAAGAGGCCTTGAGAAAATGCTGCTTCAGCTTTATGCTTCTAATGCATCTGGCATACAGCAGCAAAGGAACATCCTCTCACCTGTTCACCTGGCAGTCAGCATTTTTGCCATTCTAGCTAAAACAGGATCATAGCAATAGGGATCATTTTTAACAGACAGAGAGACATAGATGACGTGTTATTGAGAAACACTACGAAATAGAATTTTGATTTTATTTTGTACGTGACGTGGATGATATCTAATCTTGTCTGAATGCTCAAAAAAGCAGAATGATCTCTGTGTAATCATCTCTGAGTGACAGGTACGAATAAGGGACCAGAGCAACAGAGACTATCTGCACTGCTTTCCGAGTGGGTTGGAAGCAACTTGAGTCAAGCACATTTTAGACAAAGGGAAATTTGCCAGTGTGCAGACAATTTACTTTCTTTCCTGAGTACCTCATACAGAGCCCATAAAATAAGCTTTCAAAACTATGGAGTGCCTAAGCCTGGACATGTCTCTGTGGAGCAGCGGATAATTATGTGAGAGGTTCTCTGAGAGCATGGGATTGTGAGCAAGGTCTTTGTGCTGAAAATGCAAATGGCTGTGGCTTATACATTTAATAGATAGTCTGCTCCTTGTACTCTCAGTGTAGTGAGTTTTCAAACAAAGGTCCTTGTTCCTTGACATTCTTTTCATTGTTTCAGAAGAGCTCAGTAGGACAATCTGCTTCCCCCCCAGTAGGTCTAAGGAGAGAGCAGTGGCAGAAATGAATGGACCTTCAGTGAGTGGCCTTCGCCAGTTCACTTCTTGTTCCAAGATAACTAAGTGGTATTTTCAGAAGAAGTTGGCTTTATCTTTTGTACTGACTTTTTTTCTTGCTTCTTGCTCTCGCAGGCATTTTCTGGTTTCAACTCTTATCTTTCTTTGTGCACATAACTCTGTCCAACTGCTGCTTGTTAATAACTTCATTTCACAAGCTTCGCGTGTGTTTTGCTCTCAGATTCTGCCTAAAATTCCTTAGCTGATGGGAATGCGAAGCCTACAGAAAACACGTTCTCTGTATGTCCTTCATTTGTTTTGCATGTGGAGACACCAAAGTCTCCATGCATGGACTTTTTTGCATGACTATTTTTTTTTTTTTTCAGCCTAATAAAAGAATGAAGGTCAAAGATGGTGCTGTAAAATGACTAGAAAGTCATTATTTGTCTTCCTGATGCTTTTCTGGGAAATGCCACATCATCTTTACTCTCTGTATACACATGCTTATGTGAAACTAGGTGTGGTTGTTTATTTTTCATCATATGGTTGGGACCTCATTTTTGTCCAGTATATTTTTCTTGTAAGGGGCCAAGGTATTTTCACAGACTATTAGAACCTGGTTTTAATATCTGTTGTTTGCCCATTAGACAGTGAGAGACAACTGAAAGCAATTAATAACTGTAATCTGTAATTGTTTTCAATAGTAAAATTAGAAAAAAAAAATAATAATCATGTCAATATTGCTTTCCAACAACTTTTATATTCTTCTCTTGTAGCTGGCAAGACATGGGTTAAATATAGTTATGATAAGTAGAACTCTTGAGAAGCTGCAGAGAGTGGCCAGTGAAATCGGTAAGTGTGTGTTCCACATTTGTTTGCCTTCCTATCTGGCAGCCTGTCTTGGTGGGAACCGGGGCCTGCTTCCCTTGTAGAGTCCCAGATATTGCTGCAGTAGAGCCCAAGCTCTTAGTGCAAAACTACAGGCACTGTTTCACTGCATCTTCTAGTCATAGATTGCTTTAAAAACACATGCTATGATTCAAACAGTTCAATAGCTTGGGACAGAGAAACATGACTCCAGATTCTGTTCTGACTTCACCTGAGCTTAAGATCTGTAAATAGGAGATAGGACAATAGATTTATTTGAACAATCTAGGAATGGGCTTTTGCTTGAGAAAGAACAGTTACCTTGAGGCTAGTTCTTGGAATGCAGCAGAGGAGCAGTAGAAGTGAAATAATTGTAGCTGTTGTCCTCTTTTTTTTCTCTTTTTAAGGTTTACAAACTACATTTGGCTTTCAGTAAGACACTAAAGTAGTGTGGCTTTAGAGTTAATGTTCATTTTCTTTTCTTCAAATGGAATTAGTCATTTGCCCTGGGGAATAACTTGTTTAAATACATTAGGATTGACAGTTAAGATTTCTATAGGAGTCAAGTGAGTTTATATCCTCCGTTAACTTTACAGACATCTGTAATTGGGTTTATTCTTCCATACATTGCCTCTGTCCCCAAACTCCCCGGTGCATGTGCTGGCTGTGCTGTGCTGGCTGTGCTGTGCCCAGCTCTGAGCCCTTCCAAAGAGAAGGCCTCAGACCAGATTGCACCCACAGGAGGTATCTTCTGTATCTTGGGGATGAGATTGGCTACCGAGCTTCTGAATTTCCTGTCTAATTTACCCCTCATTTCTAGATACAAACTTACTTTCCCTTGAGAATCAAGAAGTACTGAAGGGGGAAGCACCAGCCTAATTGTATCCCATGAGACCAGTGTGTCTGGGGCATACACTAGCTCCTACTACGTCATAAAAAAAATGAAATCCTGTGAGGATTATGCAAGCTCTGGTGTTGCTGCATTTCTCTGTGGCTGAATATTAAAGAATTAAAAAACCTAATTAAAGAAAAAAAAGTTTAACAAATTTTTATAGTTTTCTTTGCATTGTAAATGATAATGGAAAGCAAAGAATGAAAACAATGAGGTCCTTGAGACTAAGAAAGCGAAGTGAAGAATGAGAGAGGTGGAGCTCTGAAAAAGGTAATGCCCTGCAGATTCCTCTTCACAGGATTTACATTGAGGCCACCCTTGGGGCACCTTCCCCATGCATGTGCTGAGCTCTGCAGCAGCCCCTCACCAAGGGCCTCCTGTCCTGGATGCTCCACTGTGGCAGCCTGCCATGATAGCGGGCAGATAGCGCTGAATTTACCCCAGAGCTTGCCTGAAATTGCTGTCAAAACTCAATGAGATCTTCCCATTGTGTTCAGTGGGTTTTGGTATTTCTCCAGAATGACTCGTGTTATTTGTTGTGCTGGGTTGGAGAGGAATACATAACAGCAAGTAGATGGCACAAACAAAATGAATGAGAGGAGGACACAGCAACAGCAAGCATCTGATATGGAGGTCACAAAAATCAGCAAGGAGCTCTAGGTGTGAGTTTAGGTTAAAGCTTTCAAATGACTCCTCTGATTTCAATATTCAGACTCGGGGTTTATTGTAATTAAGCTAAGTAATCACTGGGAAGGGAAGGAGAGTTAAACGTACTGTAATTTTGTGAGAGTAAATAAACAGTGGAAACCCATAATGAAGCAGAAGTCTAACCAGAATGATTGTATTGTTTTTTTAATCTTTTTCCCTGGCTTTCTCTTTCTAAACTGCTTAAACAAGAAATGTTTCACTCCAAGCAGTTATCATTACCCTGAATTATTGTAAAGAGATTAAGGCACAGAGAGATGCAGACACAAAGATTACCGCAGGCTGTGAGAATACCTTGTAGGACTGCACACATCACTCGTGTATCCTTTTTCTTAACATTTACTCACTGTATCCTTTTCCAGAGAGTTGGACACAGTAACAAGAACACTTGACTTCCTTCTCAACTTGTTAGTGTTATTTACCTAATTGTACTGTTCGTGGTAAGATAGATGAAAAGAAGCTAAAATGTAGATACCTCCCTCAGTCTCAGTTGTTTGCTTTCCTTCTGTGGATCACAGATATGCTTGAGAGTAGCTCTCAGAAATGGGGCTTTCAGCAGGCCATCCACAAGCCAAAAAACACTTCCCTACAGAAGAATCAAAACCGGATTTCCACCCAGCTGGACAGGATGGCTCTTTTTAGAACATGAGATAAAAGATAACAAAATAAGTCTTGTGTGAGGAGACAGAGCTTACGGTTTCACTAGATGTATTGCTTATTTGACGTGATTACTATTGTGGTTGTAAAACATCAATCAGAAAGTTAGGTATGATGAAAAGCTATTAGCTGCATTCATATTTCTTCTTACACTTCCAAGCAAGCTCTACAAACAGAGCTAGATCCTGACAGAAAAGTTATACCCTAGAGTTGGCTAGTATGATCAGAGTCTATAGTTGCTTAGCAGTTAAGTCTTGCCAAACAAAAAAAAAGACACCTCTGTATGACATTAATATTACTAAAAATCTATTTCAGGAAGTTCTCAGAAAGCAGCTAAAAATACAGCTACATCAGCTTAGACTGGCTTAGCATGTGGGCCATGAATTTGAATTTGGTGATATAATTAAGTTTTTCAACTTTTCCCTGCAGAAATCATGTCCATTACCATACACCCCACAGAATGTCCAGTAACCAAATAAGACTTACTTCCACTAAACCCCATAAAGGTACTAGTTATGTCTAGCTGTTCCCAATCCTGCAGGAAGTGTTGTACTGTGTGCTCACCCATCTTCTTCCAGAGATAACTCCAAGAACTAAACACTAATAAGCTGAGGTTACTGAGTAGCAAAACAGACCTCCACTGGCATTTCCTTCCTTCCCTCTCAGAGGCTGTTAATCAATCCCATTTTGTCTTGCTTTTACCACTGAGGTATTACTGCTTAGGGCTGATTTCCCAATATGCAGTATTGCAGTGCACCTCAGAATCTTGACTAACATTTCTGAATTATCTACTAATTAACGGTAATTTGGAAGGACATGGATTCGCTGAATTTGGTTCTTTTATGTCTTGTTGCAGTTCTAATTTTGCCCCATTCCCTTTATTGTTGTTTTTTTTTTTTTTTTTTCCCTCCTCTATTTACTTTTACTTCCGAAACTGTTTTTTCTTCAAAAAAACATTAGAACTGTAGTGAAACTTGTAATTTACAGCTGAATAAAAACTTCTAGTATTTCTCACAAGTCTTAAATATTTTTTTACCTTCTTTTTGTTGTTTAAGTAACTTCCCATTTTTTTTTCCCCTCACTCTGCAAATTTTCACTCAACATGAAGGTTGAGTGCTTCTCTCTTCATTTTCTAATTTGATTATAATTCTCAAATGGGATTCCTATTGCTACAGAGATCAGTTCTTACGTTACTCAGGCATTCATTTTGCTACCTCAGGTTTTCAGAAGATCTTCATATCTCTGCAAACAGAAAAGGAGAATTTCTGGCTGGCTTCATATTCTAGTCAACTTCATGCTTCTGCCTGATTTATTCCCTTCTTGGTAAATTTTGAGAGGCAATATGTTATTCTGTCCAACAAATAGAATTTCCTAGTGGTCTGAGGTCAGGAGTTAGATATATCCTTAATGATACATTTTGTAACACATTAGTTGAAACAATACAGCTCAAATTTTTTATTTTCCTTAAATTTGTTTTCTCTTCATTTTTTAACAAAGGAATAACCTATCCTGATGTTTGAAAACCAAGATTCTGGCACACTTAGGACTTCTAAAAAGAGTTGGAATGGTTTGCGTCTTCAAAGACTGCCATAAATCTTTGTCCTGGGGAGGGAGAGACCAAAGAAACTTAGAACTTATTTTTTTGGCATCGCTCTTTATAGAATTGTTATCATTTTCTAAAGAGCTATCCCTTGATATCTCTTCATTTGTTAGCATGATAGTTTTATTGTTGTTTAATATATTGGTTTATTCTTAAATGGACATAGTAGAGCCATCTGGAGTGTTTGTCTGTTCACTGACAGCAGTACAGTTGCAGCAGTACAGTTGCATACAGACAAGGGGATGCAGAGAAAAGCCAAATGGTTTGTTTGATCCTAATTTTTATGCAGCTATAGTCTTGGCTGCCCTTCTGATTGCCTGCTGAAAAGATGGCAACAACATCACTATACTTTTTAAGGCCATCTCATTTGCTATAGAGCTCTTCAATCAGCAGGTCACCATAGGTGTCTGCTCCTGCTGTTTCTCTACTCTTTCTCTTCACTCCGTTTATACTTAAAATATCCTTATTCTTTGTATTGTACCATTCTTCAAGTCTGGGGCTACTAGGGGTTCATTTCCTTCTAGAGTTGCTTTTATAGGTTGGATGTTCAAAGAGTGTTTTGTCCTTTTTACACAAACAACTGCAGCCTGGAGAGAGGGCTGGAAAAGGGCACTTTTTCCTCCTTGGCCCTGTCATGGAGACAGATGTCCTCAAAAGTCATACACAAGATGTGGCCTACTTTCAGATTTGGAGACTAAGTGCCCACTGTTTCCTTTAACTGTTTCTATTGCTTTGGTAGAATGAAATGTTTGGGGCTGGCAGTACATAGAAGGGATGGAGGGATTATCCTGGGAAAGTAGCATGCTCTCATCAGACCCTACATCTGCAAGCTGGCCTGCTGAACCCAAGGTTAAAATGGCTTCCTGCTGGCCTTGCTGACCTGAGGTGGCCCAGGGAGTGATAGGCCTAAACCAGAACAGACACGATGATTTGAGACACAAATTCTGTGTAGAAATCAATGAATGGTTCCTATCCAAGGCAATGCTATCTGTATGACAAAACCAAGCTCCAAGCAAGATGACAGTTGCCCAAAGAGAACTGAAAGCAGACTTTATGCCATCCATGTGCACCTGAATTCTTAACATGTGCAGCAGTCTGCAGCATGATCATGTATTGACATTTCCAGGCTTCACTTGTTGCTTTTTCAGTGAACTTCATCTGGATTTCAGATTGCCCATAAAACTTGAAAGCAGCTTTAGTAGCAAGAATTTACAATGTGAATATCTTGTTAGAAAAGACCTTACTGGGCTGCTTTGAAAGAGAACCTTGCCTTTTGAAATGAGTAAATAAGAGCCTATACCTCTTTCCCTCATGAAACTTCATTGAAAATATGGACAGTAATAAATCAACTGCTGAGAAAAGTGGTAAAGTACAGCATAGCAAAGATACTGGAAAATAATACATATTTCCCTTTCCTTTCTGTGTAAATTGACCTTGTAAAATTTAAACTATAACCTCCCTTATATGTTTCAGTCCTGCAAAATCATATGGAAGTTTCAATCCACAGTGATGCAAATGTAGATACAAGAAAAATTGGCTGAAAAGGATGCCGAAAATACGTAATCACAAGTAGTCTATCTTTCTCCTCGTCCTACATGAAAAAATGAGCTCTGCTTGTTAAACCGTTAATCTTTTACACACACACACACAAAAACCTACCTCACTTTAAAACAATTCTGTGCTTATATTGAGGGTCTGGCATCCACATTCATCTGTCTAATGCATGCTGACAATGTTCTTTTATAAGTATAATGATAACTGGGGAAGAGTTGCTGTATTTCTTATTTCTTTTATTTTTTCTTGCTGAAGGATTAAATGCTGTTTAGGTTTTCTCAGGGAATTTCCATTAATTTCAGAACACAAATTCACTCTATTTCCCAGTTATTTTCTTTGAAAATAACTGTAATGAGTGAGGCTGTTTAGCTTGTGTTTTAACTATTTTTAAAGCAAGAAAGTTGAAAAAATGATTATCATCTGCGCAGTGGACAATTTTAAGTGAGACATTTCATTGTTTTTCTAACTACTGCATTACAATTCTTCTCTTTGTAGGTGGAAAGGGGTTTTCTGTTTTTTTATTCTTAATTACAGAGCAGGCCACAGCTCAAAAGGTGAAGGTTATACAAGCTGATTTCACTAACAATTCAGTATACAAGAACATTGAAAAAGATCTGGAAGGCTTGGAAATTGGTGTTTTGGGTGAGTTGCTAATGTTTGTTAAGTAAAGAGTATTTTATGGCTGCATATTATGTGTGGTGTAACAACTTCTTAGCCAAGCAATTAAAACCAAGCGTACAACTGCCTAATGCATTTGAATATAAATTATCTTGATCAAGTTTTAAAAGTGAATTAAGATTCTCCAAGCATTTCCCTTTTCTTTGTGCACTAGTTTCTTCTGCTGTGAAACATTTTCTGCTGTTTCATGAGCAGAGGCCAGCCCATGGGATGATTTTTTCCCTGTTTGGCCTCAAGGAATTACAGCTGTGTGTGGTTCTTACATTCAAATTGAAATAAGCCTGAGGCTAACACTAATTGGTGTGATCCACACAGGAACAATTGAAACTTTTTTTGTTTATTTGTTAAGAAAATTATCCTTTTAATGGTGAAACAAACAAATTAAACAAGAACAAAATAAAACCAAACAACCAACCCACCCTCCCCAGACTGTACAGCAGACTGTTTTTCTCTTCCCTGAAGTCAGCACTGATTGATACCAATGAATTCAGTGAGAATAAGACTCAAAGCTAAGCAGCATTTCTCTTCATATGCAGTTTAAACACCAAGTCTTAAGGAGAAGTCTTTTGCTTAATTAGCTGAACTACGCCTTTGTCTTGATGTGGTCCTTATAATTATGTTTCCTTTGATTAGTTAACAATGTTGGAATGCTTCATAATCCTCTTCCATGCCGTTTCCTTAATGCACCAGATGTAGATGAGGTAGGCTTACTCTGTGATTTTCTACTTTCAACATAATAATTAGGTATTGTTATTCTCCTTAGCAAGTGGCAGATCCTGCCTCTACTACCATCAGTGCCTATTTCAGTGTAGAAGCATATTTTGATTTGTTTTTCATGTTTGGAAGAGCTTGCAATAGAAAAAAATGGTAGAGTTCAGCTCAATTGCAGCAGGCAGGTAACAATAGCAGAGCCCAGCAGACTCTGGCTCACCGCTGTCACATAACACCATGGGGCCAGCCCAGTCACAGCCGCAGCATTTATGATAGTGTTATCAAAACTTTATTTTGTAGAGACACCATTGATTTAATGTGTAGGAAAATAAAAAATAAACCTTGCTTAAACATGCTTTATTTTAGGGAGGAATTTATACACTCAGGATAGTTCCACAGGGTTAAGGACTTGATCACATTCTTCTTTGCCTTATTATTGTCAACCGATACCATGTTAGCCAAGAAATAGAGCTTCCAAGTGCAATTCTCACTGGCCCTGGTCCCAGGATCTATTCAGTCTATTTGTCACCGTCTGTTACAAACTACACATCCCCAGCTGGCTGCTTCCCACTGTGCTGCAGCCAGGAGGTGGAACCTCTGCTGCTGCTATGGCTTCTGCCTGCGAGATGGTCTTGGGACAATACCTCTGCACAGTAATGCTTATGCTGCACAGACATCATATAGAGAAATAGTGCTACCTCTGTTACTGGGAGACATTCCAGCTCAGCTTGGCACCTTTGTAAGCTGAGTGCAATTTGGCATGCATCTATCTTGGTTTGCTGGTGCCAGCAGGCTCTGTAGTGTCATCATGTGCAAACACACAGCTGGGCAAAATGAAGAGTGCTAAAACAAAGAGTTGCATGAGATTTGAATTGCATGTTTAGTGAAACATGAATCCAGGGCTCATTTGCCTTTGAAGTATCTCACATCATAGACACATCATAGAGTCAGTGAAAATCCAGGGCAACTGTGCTTTGCTAGGAAGTTTTTCAGTTGGAATTGCTAGGTTTGTAATGTAGAAAAGCTACATACTTTTTAAAATTAGCCATGAACTTACTGCTTTCTTGTTTATTTCAGAACCTTGTCAACTGTAACATTATTTCTGTAACAAAGGTATGTGTCATACGCATCAAATCTGAATTCATTGCACTGAGAAAGAGTAATCATTTAATCACATTAATTGCATGACTACTAATAGTCATGCAATTAACTTTCCTGTACAAATTCATTCAGTTTATCCAAAGACATTCCTATTAAGCTGGAATGTCAGCATTATTTAAAGGACTTTGTTGGTTTCTAATATCTATGAAATATTTTGAGTTGGCTGGAAATGTTTTCACACAATTTGTTGGTTGATACACATTGTTACACTGCATCTGAATCATTTCGCAAAAATAAGATGGTGTCCCTAATCAGGAAGATTTGTTTGAAAATTAAAATCTGCAGGGCAGGAAGATCCACAGTTTTTTTGTACTATGCTTTATATTCATTTTTTGAAACAACTCTACTCTACAAAAACATTTTTCTATCAGTGTAAGAGAGAAACTTCAGGAATTGACTCGCAGATTGCTATTCTTCTTGGTGTTAATTTTGGTTGGATACTCTGCTTACAAGAACAGTTAGTGTTCCATGCTTAAAGATTTGTGTTGCTTTGCAGTTTGCAAGTAGTATGTTAACATAAAAAGAGCAGAACCAGAGCGTTAGAGTTCATCTTAACTTTGGCTAACAGATTTTTAAATGCTACATGAAAATTGTGAACAGATATTCCTCTTTGGCTAGCAAACTTTACCTCTCATGTTTGTAGTGCTGCTTAATGACTTCAAATAATAAATCACGTGAGATTGACCAACTGAAACAAATTCATTTATAAAGTAATTCTCTGAACTTTCTGCTAATAGGTTTTATTCCATTTATCACAGAATTGTAGAGGTTGGAAAGGACCCTAGCCTAGACTCCCTGCTAAAGTGGGTTCTCTATAGTAGGTTACACAGGAAAGTATTTGGGTGGGTTTTGAGTATCTCCTGAGCAAGAGACTCCACAACCTCTCTGGACATCTTGTTCCAGTGCACTGTCAAACTCAAAGCAAAGTTTGTCACAGAGTTAATTAGATCAATCTATGCCCTAGACAGGGGGGTAGTGGGCCCCTGGGCCCCTCCAGCTCCACAAAATGGGAAGGAAAAGGGAAAAGGGGTAGAGAGATGGGAGCTGGGCTCAAGGAAGGAGAAAAAACAGTGGAAACAATCTATAGAGGAAAACTCCCATTTTGTCAACTACAATATTAGAATGCAAGATAACACAATATAATACAATCTAAATGAAACTGAGACTAATAAATCAAATAAAATAGGAGAGAGAGAGTGTTCCTGAGACCAATCAAACCTGAGAAGTTTGGTATAGCTAGGAAAGCACACTCCCAACACTCCCTGCAAGGCAGTAAGAGACTGCCCAACCAGGAAGGGCCAGATCCCATGACTTCGGCGACATACAGGGACAGGTACCCGGAATTGGAGCATTAACACTTCAACTCCCAGTGCACTACATGATGTTAGGATATGCAATACCAAAAACCAAAAATCACAAAACCATGACACTCATCTTTGTATGTAAATTCTTATGTTCCAGTTTGTGCCCATTGCCCTTGCCTTGCCTCTGAGCAGCACTGTAAAGAGTCTGGTCCCATCCAATTGAATCCTGTCCTTACATACTTACGCTGATAAGATCTCCTCTCAGCCTTCTCCTCTCAGTCTTCTCTCAGATTTCTCTTCTCCAGGCTGAGGCTCTCCCAGCCTTTCCTCATATCTCATCCAAGAGAGATTCTCTAGGCCCCTAGTCAAGATGAGTAGTGCAGTTGATACAATAAAAGGGAGGTATATCATCCATAGGGACCTGGACATGCTTGAAAAGTACACATATCAGAATGAGGTTCTGTGCTAGGTGCTGCACTTGGGCCACGGTTATCCCAGATATGAGTACGAAGTGAAAGAACTCATACAGAGCAGCCCTGCAGAGAAGGACTTGGATGTCCTGATGAAAGAAAGGCTGGAGATGAGCCAGCAGTATGCACTTGCAGCCTGGAAAGCCAACAGAATCCTGAGCTGCATCAAAAGAGGGGTGGCCAGCAGAGAAAGGGAGGGAATTGTCTCCCTCTACTCTGCCCTTGTGAGGTCCCATCTGAAGTAATGTGCCCAGGTCTGCAGCTCCCCAGTACAGGAGGGATGTGGAGATCTTGGAGTGGGTCGAGATGGGAGCCACAAATATGATTGGAGGGCTGGAGCACCTCTCCTATGAAGAAAGGATGAGGGACTTGGGCTTGTTTAGCTTGGAGAAGCTCTAGGGCGACCTCATTGTTGTCTTCCAGTACTTGAAGGAAGCTTACAAGCTAACTTTTTACATGGTCTGATAATGATAGGATAAGAGGGAATAGCTTTTAACTAAAAGAGGAGAATTTAGGTTAGATGTTAGGTAGAAATTTATTACTCAGAGTGGTGAGGCAATGGAGCACGTTTCCCAGGGAGGCTGTGGATGCCCCATCCATGCAGGTATTCACAGTCAGGCCAGATGGGATCTTGGGCCGCCTGATCAAGTAACTGGCAACCCTGCTAATGGCAAGGGGGTTGGAACTATATAATTCTTATGGTCCTCTCCAACCCTCTTTTGATGCAGCCACACTATGATTTTTTGATTCTTGACTCCTCCTTCTTGTCCTTTTTGAAGACTGAATAGATACTGGCTTACCTCCAGTCCTCAGGCACCTCTTCCATTCTCCAAGACCTTTCAAAGAGGATAGAGAGCATTTTGGCAATTACTTCTGCCAGCTTTCTTAGTGTTTGTGGGTGTATCCAATTGATATATGGGTTTGTGTACAGCAAGCTTGCCTAGATGATCTCTGACCTCAACCAAGCAGAATTCTTCCTTTCCTCAGACTCTCTCTTACCTGTAGAGTGTGAGATTCCTGAGAGGCAGTCTTAGTAGAAAAGACTGAAGCAAAGAAGGCATTCAGTAGCTCTGCCTCCATTATCAGGGTGTCCATCTCATTCAGCAGTGGACCCACACCACATTTTCCCTAATCTTTCTTTTGCTACTGATATGCTTAAAGAAACTGTTCTTGTTGTCCTTGACCTTTGCCAGATATAATTCCAAGTGGGCTTTAACCTTTCCTTGTCACATCCCAGCCTGCCTTGACACCATTCTTTGTATTCCTCCCCTGGCCTGATCCTTTTCCCACTTTCTGTTGGCTTTCTTCTAAAATTTGAGTTTTTCCATGATCTCTTTGCTCATCCAAGGCTTGGGGATTCCTTTTCCTCAATGTTACAACCCCTTCCTCTTCAGTTTTTCACAAAATTTCACTTTCCTTCAAAACTCAGAGAAGAAATCATGCTCCTAAGTGCCATTCTTCATGCCTTGGTCCAAATAATCTTTCCATTTTTTCTCAATCCTTGGCTTGACTGCTAGTAGGATCCTCTTCACTACTTCTTGCAGTGGGACACTTGCGTTCCAGGCATTCCTGGATTCTACAGATGTCAGTAGATGTTTTACCACTGAGGAAAGGCAGGACCATTTCCAATGTTTTCCACTTTCCTTGAAAATTCTCCTTCACCCCAGCTGATGTGACATCAGCATCCTTTCTGAAAATGAACTTTGTGAATCCTACCTTGATCCTTCAATCCTGTAGTATACAGTGACACTAATGAAAAAGAAGTAATAGAAAATTAACAGGGACTGAAATAAATAATTGAATTATTCACTTGCACTGACTTTTATTCCAGCTCTTGACAAATTAGTTCAAACTTATATCCTGAAAAGTTTCATACATATATGTTTTTGTAACGAATCAATCATATGAGTTTCCTAAGGAGTTAAGGTTAATGGCAAAAATGTTTTTAAAATGCAAAAAGCAGCAGCTACTTTCTTACCCGAGATTGGACTTAATCACACTTTAAAAATCAGAAGAATGATTCAGTCTCTTATTAAAATTCAAACAGATCTTTAAATAATTAATATAAAAATGACCTGCAAATTCCTTTGTTACCATTAAATAAGTTTTCTTTTACTCATTTTCTGCTATTTCTGATCCAGGTGGAGGCAGAATTAAAAATCTGAAAACACGATAGAGCTTAATTTCTCCTTATGTTTGAAAACTGAAGACTCATGAAATTCAGATATTGATAAAAAACCGTGGATAAGCATAAGATTTTCATGGCTTAGAAGTCTAACCTTAGATTTTTTTTTTTTTCCCCAATTTAGCTGATTGGCAGGCCATTAGCATTTCTAAAATGTTTCTCAAATCTTTGAACGTGCCATATTTGAACTGGACATGCATGTCTGGAGCTTAAGCAAATGGGAAACCTTGTAAATAAAACAAGAAGAATTTAAAAAAGCAATTAGAATTAGTAGATTCAATGTATTTTTTAATGTACTTATCTTACAGATGACACAACTAATTTTGAAACAAATGGAACCAAGGTAAAAATTATTTTTCCATAACTTTCAATTTTCTTTTTTTTCCTACTATCACTTTCTTCAGTGGTAGGTATGCTTTTTCATTATTAACTTCTGTGCTTGATGGAACATCAGTCAGTAAGATTTACCTCTCTTGCTGTTAGTGCCATATGAATGAATGATACAAACTGCCACAAGTTGTCAGTTAACTGTGAAATGACACAGATAATATAAAACATTGATCTGTTTATAGAAAAAGCATGTAGCTATTGCAGATATAAAGTTATATATGATGCCATACATTCAATTCTGCGTGAATATATTGTTTTATTTTTCCAGGATTTGTAGCCATGCTTGGAACATCATTTTTTAAAGCTCTGGAAATACCTGTACTTCCTTTGGGAGATTAATTCAGCTGTGTATTCCCTTTTCTCCTTTTAATGCAATGTGCACTTTAGACACAGGGTGTCCTTAAGCCATAAGTTGAGGTTTTCAGATGCAGTTTCTAGAAAACATTAACTAGTACGTTTTAGAGGACAGCATGCTTTTTGTTTTGACAACAAAATAAGCTCTTATGTTTAATAGTTTTGCTCTGTTTTGTTTTTCCTGGTTGTTGTAGAATGAACTGTTTTGGTGATTTGTATAGGGAGTTGTGAATAGGGAAAATAAAACAACAGATGCATGGAACAGGAAAATGAATGTGCTGGCTAATGAGCAGAGGGGAGCTACCAATTACTAAGGAGCATAAAATCTTTGATGGCAATTTTTCCTCTGTTAGATGTACAATAGCTTCTAAAACGTTCCCATGGTTCTGCTTGCATAGGGCGTTAAAGTTTCACTTATTCCATTTTTTCCTAGATGCATTAGACTTAATTGCACCTAACAAAACAATAAAAATTGGGTCTTTAGAGAGTGTAGTCTACAGGATAATAGGAGAGCTCTGCCCTCTGGGAGAGAAACGTTGCTTTCCACTTGTGAAGGTTTTTACCGTAACTATCTAAATTAATATGCATGTAACTATCTAAATTAAATTTTAGACAGAAAGGTCTGATTCTGAACCTGTCCTCTGGTCTGGGTACTTTCCCTTGTCCACTATACACAATGTACTCAGCATCTAAGGTAAGTCTTTTATGTTGCTTTATAAATCTCCATCAAGTGTTTACCAAAATTTTTATATCAGCAATACTGACCTGGGATTTCAGATGACATAAATCAATGCTATTTCTCTGAAATAATGGAGTGATGTGAGTTTGTGCTAGCTGAGAACAAAGAGTCAGCTATGCAAATGAAATCCAGCTGAAGGTATGTCTCATCACTGGAACATTTTTGTCTTTAATTAGTGTTATAGCAGTGCTTTTTGTGGAATGGTGAATTTTACTAGGCTCGCTTAGCTGTCTTACTTGAAACTACAGTTGTACAAGAGGGTTAGATTTTTCTTACAAAGTCAGGAATAAAAATCCTGGTAGGTGGCTGGTGAGTTTCCTCATTGCCTAGATTTCACTTTGAAATATTACTTTGAATTGCAACCCCAGACCTTATAAAAATGAGGAGATATTGATTTTTACTAAAACTCCAAAAATGATCTGCTCTGATCAGATTTGCTTCAAATGAAAGATTCCATCCATATTTGCTTGAACATAGCCGAAATTCAGCTCATTAAGAAAAAGTAGCTTTTCCTTGATTAGAAATTCTACTTTTCTATTTATTTTTTCTCATTTTGACCGAAGTTTCTTACGGCTCAAAACTCAAACTAAATTCAAGCCAGACAATTTAAGTTCCTTAGAAAATTTTAGTTAATATTATTTCAAAATGATGTAGTGCATTAACTGTCTTATTTCAACTTTTTTTCATTCTTGAGTGTCTGTTACCTTTGTTTCTGAGTACTTTTAAAATTGACTTTTTCTTGCAATGCCATGAAAGAAAACATTTCACTGGCCAGCCTCTAACTGAATGCAAATCATGCAAGAGTGTAAGACTTTGAGTGTTTGAACTGTAAGATGCCCAAATGATTGCTATGAAAAACTCAGGAGTTCTCTGGTTAATATGGATTTTATATCTCTTATTACTAAAGTTATTAAGCTAACTATGTTCAGTGTTGCTAAGCTTCTGAATATTTCTAAAATCATTCATTATATTAAAAAGCCAACTTTTACACAAAATAAGTTCATGTACATGCAATCTTCATGGTATGAAGAAAAGCATAGAAAGATAAACCCTTAGAAAAGATAAACCCTTAGAAAGATAAAGGTTGAAGCCTAAAAACAAACAAGCAAATAAATAAATCTCCAAATACATATATATACATATATATACATATATATATATATATATATATTTTTTTTTTGAAAATCACATTTGCATGCTATGGTCATAGACATATGTTAAAAGCATGAGTTGTATTTCACTCATCTTTTCATTGGAAGAAAGAGCAATGTAAGCCTTGGACTGGGAGGGTAGATGTCAGTCAGAGATGGCAACAACATGCAAAAAGAACTAAGATAAATGGGACACTGATATTTTTATCTCTTGCATTTTCATAAATATGACAAATCTTTGATAAAGATCTGCAGTTATACCTTGTCATATCTGGCTTGGGCCAGTGCCAGTCTCCATCTTCTCTGGTGCAGGTAAGCAGTCTTACTGTTACTAGTGGAGGAGAGCAGAAAATGTGTCTTCAAACACTTTTTTACCACTAACTGTGCCTTAGGTTATCTAAGACGTTTGGTCATTTTTGTTAAGAGCACAATAAGCATAAATTTTTGAGTATTTGTGAAAGTACATAATTTCCTGCACTAACATTATTTCATTTTATTTTATTCTAGGCCTTTATATGCACTTTCTCCAAAGCACTACAAGCAGAGTATAAAGAAAAGGGAATTATTGTACAGGTGATACTATATCTTACCTTTACTTATTCCACGTCATGCCTTGATCTATTGCAGATATGTTTTACAGTTTCTCAGATGCCATGAGATTCTGTAGAGTGAATGGTCTTACGTAGATGTCTGATAACATTAAACTCTTACTACATGCCTTATTTTAGGTAGTGGCTCCTTATGGCATTTCTACTCCAATGACAATGCACCAAAAACCTGGTCTTATTACAAAGAATGCAGAAGAGTTTGTTAGTGAATCACTGCATTACGTCACTTTCGGAGATGAGATTTCTGGATGTTTAGCCCATGAATTACTGGTAATTGCATATGATAATTTGTAAACAGATTCTAAAAGTTTAATCAAGGCTGCCTGGGCTCATTGGGTTTTTTGACTTATTTTGGAAATCTTAAAGTTATGCTTCAAAAGACAAACTGTGAATAGGTTAAGGTTAATATGGCACCAGTAAACTCTGAAGGGAAGAAGATACATGCAGAGTGCAGTGCTGTAAGCAAGGTGCAGTATTCTCAACTTCTATTTTTTGAGCCGAGGTCAGTTTGATGTCTCATTAGTCTTTGTCTTTTCTCCAGCTGCCAGTTTCCTAACAAGAATATATCCAAGACTCCTACTCCTTTAAAGAAACCAATCAATAGATTCAGAAGTTATTAGTGGAGAAAGGAAGGTACATAAAAACAGACTGTACCGTCACATAAATATAATTTCCTCAAGATATCAAACTAATACATATATATATATATATATGGCAGCTGTTAATGGTGATCATTAAACCAAAGTATAGGGATGAGAACAGATCCATTGAAAGGAAAGGAGCATTTTCTGCTGAGGGAAATATTTGTACTAAAAGTATGAAGTAAAAGCTTATACATTTATTATTTTCTACAATCTTTCTGATCACACGGTTAATTTCTTTCAAAAGGTTTTTGTAACCTTTTGATTTTGTATTGTTTTTTCTTGATTATTCTAAAGGCATGCATTCTGCAGCTTGTTCCTTTATGGGTACTCCACAGTGACAGGCTTCAAGAAGCAGCCCTGCAGGCATTTACCAGTTATCTTAAGAAGAGGTGGAGGACGTCCTAAGTCTTTTTTTTTTTTTTTTTTTTTAATGATGATGTGTAATGGGAAACTCCAACAGGAAGCATTTAACCATGGCTCTGTATATGTAGAAAAAAAATCAAATCAGATGGAAACGCATCTGCATGAAAATCACACATCAAAAGATAATTGACTTGATTAAGCAAATTCATTACTGTCCCTTTCCAATGCCTTCTGTGCGTTGGGTAGGTTCTATTAAGAGTTTCTGCTACTCTAACTATTTTAACATGAGCTTGGAGGCGACAGACATTTATGCTTTTTTGATCTTCAGAAATAAAACAATAATTTGCTTTGTTCCCAAACTTGTTTACAGTTGATTTTTTTTGATTTTTCTTTTTTTTTTGATGTAAAGTCAAAGAAGTCTGCAGGAAGGAGAAGAAAAGCAAGCTTTCAGGATGGAAAGTAAGTGCTGAAACTTTGGAGATCAGCAGCCATAAAATATCTACTTCTACTTCCAGAGATTATTAATGACTGTCCTCTGCATTGTCTGAGAAGGGCTGAAAGAGGCAAGATTATAGGCAAAAGATAGACTTAATATAAAACAATTCTTTGAATCAAACTGCTACTGCTACTGACTGAAAGCAGAAAATATCTAGAAGTGAAAGTGAGACGTCTGTGTAGGGCATTCAGTATTGTTGATCTGAATAGCAAGGAATAGAAACGGTTTGTACATTGCTGCATAAAAAAATGTGTTTACCGATGATTAAATTATGTTCTGGTAAGTGTGATATTTGTGCAGCTGTTCAACAAATAAATATGGACTATAATATATGATAAATATTACATACGAGCCAAAAAATGAATTTCCTGAGGGAAATGCTCATTCAATAAGAGGCTTGAATAGAGTGCAGAGGTTGTGCTCACCACTGGTAGAAGTGCCCATGCATCATGGATTTCAAGCACTGTATTCTCTGATACAGCACGAAATGCAGCACGTCTCTCCTTTTCTTGCCTCTCTGTTCCAAATACATACTGATGTTGTGCCTATGTGCAGCTCTTCAGATGTCTGATTTACATGCATGAATAGTCCCAGCAACATGAAGGCACTTCTGTGAAGAAGTGGCTGCAGCTGCTCTGCTTAAGTCACAGAATCACAGAATCACAGAATTGCCAGGGTTGGAAGGGACCTCAAGGATCATGAATCTCCAACCCCTCTGCCACACGCAGGGCCACCAATCATCCCACCTAATGCTAGACCAGGCTGCCCAGGGCCCCATACAGTCTGGCCTTGAACACCTCCAGGGACGGGGCATCCACAACCTCCCTGGGCAGCCTGTTCCAGTACCTCACCACTCTCTGTAAAGAACTTCCCCCTGACGTCCAACCTAAACCTCCCTAATCTCCCTTCCTTCAACTTAAAACCATTTCCCCTTGTCCTGCTGTCACTCACCCTTTCAAAGAGTTGATTCCCCTCCTGTTTGTAGGCTCCCTTTAGGTACTGAAAGGCTGCAATGAGGTCACCCCACAGCCATTTTTTTGTCTCCAGGCTGAACAAGCTCAGCTCCCTCAGCCTGTCCTCATAGGGGAGGTGCTCCAGTCCCCTGATCATCTTCGTGGCCCTCCTCTGGACCCTCTCCAACAGCTCCCTGTCTTTCTTGTACTGGGGGCTCCAGACTTGGACGCAGTACTCCAGGTGGGGCCTCATAAGAGCAGAGTAGAGGGGAACAATCACCTCTCTGTCCCTGCTGGCCACCCTCTTTTGATGGAGCCCAGGATACCATTTGCCTTCCAAGCTCTAAGGGCACACTGCTGGCTCATGTTAAGTTTTTCATCTGTCAAGACCCCCAGGTCCTTCTCCACAGGGCTGCTCTCAAGGACCGCTCCATCCAGTCTGTAGGGATGCCTGGGATTCCTCCAGTCCACGTGCAAAACTCTGCACTTTGCCGTGTTGAACCTCATCAGGTTCACCCAGGCCCACCTTTCTAGCCTCTCGAGGTCCCTCTGAATGGCATCCCGTCCTTCAACTATGTCAGCTGCACCACTCAGCTTGGTGTTGTCAGCAAACTTGCTGAGGGTGCACTCAATTCCGTCATCAATGTCATTGATAAAGATGTTAAAGAGCACTGGTCCCAAGACAGACCCCTGGGGGACACCGCTCGTTACCGGCCTCCACCTGGACATAGAGCCATTGATGACCACCCTCTGTCTGCGGCCTTTCAACCAGTTTCTTATCCATTGAGTGGTCCACCCATCAAATCCACATCCCTCCAATTTGGAGATAAGGATGTGGTGGGGGACCATGTCTAAAGGCCTTGCTCAAGTCCAGGTAAATGATATCGGTCGCCTTTCCCTTGTCCACCGATACCGTCACTCCATCATAAAAGGCCACCAGATTGGTCAAGCATGACCTTCCTCTGGTGAAGCCGTGCTGGCTGTCACGGATCACACGCCCTTTCCTCATGTGATCAAGCATGTCATCCAGGATGATCTGTTCCATGATCTTCCCAGGCACAGAGGTGAGACTCACCGGCCTGTAGCTCCCGGGGTCCTCCTTGCTCCCTTTCCTATAAATAGGAGTGACGTGACCCTTCCTCCAGTCATCCGGGACCACACCTGACAGCCACGACTTCTCAAATATGATGGAGAGCGGCTCGGCAACCACCTCAGCCAGCTCCTTTAGAACCCTGGGATGCACGCCATCCGGCCCCATAGACTTGTACGCATTCAGTCTCATGAGGCGGTCTCGGACCTGCTCTGTCCTCACAGCAGGAAGGGATTTACCACCCCAGTCCCCACCCAGAGGTGTAAGTCAGTGGGGGTCACTTTACAGATTGAATGGGAACAGCAACATGCCTGAGTTATCTAACTCAGGTTAAAGAACACTCTTTCAGCCTACTCACAGAGACAGAAATCTATATGATTACCACTGGAGACAAATATCAGTGTATCTAATAAACAGGAACTGTCATAGTACAGGAATAGCACTGGCACACCCAGAGCTTAGTAAACGCTGGAGACTCAGTTTCCAAGGCTTAAAAGTCTTGAAATCTATGATTAGGAACATTTCTATATTTCTTGTCTCAGACTTTTTTATGTCTGTGAATGCTGTGTGATTCTTGCAGGCTGTTGCTGAAGCTGAGTGATTTCTGGTGGAACAGGAGAATCTTGTCACTTGCTGCTGTATCTTGGCTACTCTGTCAGAAAAGACATGCTTTGACCTTCTGGCTGGTTATCTTGTATAATGTGAGGCTAGGATCTTGCTGACTTGCAATCCCTCGTGTTGTATTAGCATAAGGCTGCAGCAGGAGGTTTCTCCTTCTCTGGCCAGCCCACTGCAGAAGGGAGTGTTCAGTCACTAGTGCCTGAGCCTGGAGAAGAAGCAATTGTGCCCTCCTCTGTATCTTGCATGTCATGTCCTCCTCTGAGTTCCAGTCAAACAACTCCAAAGGTCTGTCAGCTGCTCTTGCTTCCAAACAGCCTTGGTTGAGAGGGAAATAGAAGTGGGAATAAAAAGACAGAACTCTTCCCTGCCTGGGGAGAAGAGGAATGAGAAGACAAGTAGCTCGGAATTTCTGCTTCCTCCCCAGCATCTATGTTGTGTTACAGTGAGTGATAAAGTATGATACAAATAATACTGCCTGCAGTTCCTGTGCTGTTAATTGATCTGGTGGCTTTCTGAGGACTTTGTAAGAGGGCTCAGCATTGCTCCTGTTTTACAGAGCAGGAAGGAGAAGTGCAGGGAGGTACTTCAGGATTTAGTCAGGGGTAGGAGGGTCCTGAGGAGCAGCAAGGCCCCAGAGAGGGGCAGTGCCTTCAATCTCTGGGGTACGAGCAATGGAATACTTCAGTGTTCCACAGCCACCTAGCTGTCCCCGTGCCTCCTGGGCTGCTTCAGCCTCAGTGCAGCCAGCCTGGTGTGCCTACCTGGCTCAGGTACTTAGTTTTGTGCCCTGCCCGAGCTTGCAATAAGAAAATGCCAAAAAAGCAGCCTGCAGCCCCAATTGCTGGGGACACACTCTGGGGGGCAGGCTACTACCAGCCCTGGCCATCCTCAGCCCTGAAGTCCCGGTGGTGAAAGGCTTGGCCATGGCTGCAGGAAGGGTGAGGACTGCTGCCTGGTGAGTGTCTGAACCATCCAATCAAGTGCTATGGGGTAAAAGTGTTGTGTGAAATGTTAGCACAGCCTGACAGGCCTCTCAGGACTGTTTCCAAAAAGGGCTTCACTGCTCATGCCCCGAATGAGCCAAAATACCAGTTTGCAGAAAATCAGGTATTTTTGAACTTCCTTTTACTTATTACAGGGTGAGCAGTCACAAAGGGCTTTGAATGTGTAGGCCAGGTTAGATTTTACTGTTGCTTAATTCTGCCATTTTTTTTCTTTTCAAAATTTGTTGAGTACAGAGGTTATCAGTTAAAGCAATTTAGAGTCATGGGATGCAAACAGCACTTGACTCACAGCGATTTTGGCTGTTGAACTAAACTGTGCTCAGGAAAAGGGGACAACCTCTCAGCAAAACAACTTTCAGTTGGTCAGTCTGCAAGGCTCCTAGGTTAAGGCAAATGGGAACTATTTAGTGCAAGATTGCCTTAAACAATACAATGTACTTCATCAGTAGATTACATCAGTAACTGAGTAAATTTTGCAAAGGTTTGAGCTGCAAATCTGTCTAGACAAGCAATTTACAGCAGAGGAAATAAACCCCCAAACCACTGAATACTAATGTTGTAAACAGTCTGTTATCAAGGCTGGAAATGCAGACAGGGTCCTACTGTTCTTGAGGACCACCCACAATGAGAAAGAATTCGATATGGCAGCTAGCCTGAAAAACTTATTTGTGATATACTGGTATGTGGTAACAGCATGAAGGAGTTGTCAGAGTGAGGAAAGCTTTGCCAAGGGAGCAGATGATGGTATTGGCTTTGACAGTGACTGCAGCATGCACTTTGGAAAATGTCAGTCCTCCTAAAACACAGAAGAAACATAGAGAAGCTGCAAATGGCCTCCATGTGGTTTCCACTGTGTCTTCTTGTCTTCTCCTTGTAATGGCACTTAGAGAATCACCAATGAATCATAACCTGTGCGCAAAGGTCTGGTCTTCCTCCCTTCCTCCCTTCCTCCCTTCCTCCCTTCCTTCCTTCCTCCCTTCCTCCCTTCCTCCCTTCCTCCCTTCCTCCCTTCCTTCCTTCCTTCCTTCCTTCCTTCCTTCCTTGTTACTGGCTACTTGAGCAGCAATTACGTTCCTCTCTTCCATTCTCTTCCTTCCATCATTCTGCAGGTTTCAGGGCTGAACAGTGCAGAATGTAATGGAGAGAAAGGTCAAACACAGCATTACACAGCAGGCTCCTGACTTGATTGCTTTGCTAGCACAAATTGAGAGTGTGAAATCCACTGGAGGTAGACCCGGTGCAGACGGTAAGTTCTTGAAGCACCAAGACAACTGAAATTATTACTTGCCTGTGAACATAACAAAACATATGTTGAGCTCTCCCAGGAACATTTTGAAGATGCTAAGGATAGCAGAATTCTGTGAAGAGGAATAATGATGTTTGTTACTGTTTGACTTGATAAACGCAGGCCTATTTCAGCACAGACAACTGATACAGGATTTTACCATATAAGCGACTACCAGCAAGAAATAATGCTAACAACATTTTTATGCAAAGCTGCTTGGCCAAGTAGAAGAAGAAGCCAAACTTAGTATTACTTTGACACAGACTGAAGTGTACTTAGAGATGAGAGAAGGAGAAGGGGCAAATGACTCCAGTGCCTGGAGCAACAAGGCTGAAGTAGTCAGAGAAGTGATACTCACATACTCACTCTTTTTGTAGTCAGAGGTGATCATTAAAGCAATATGTCCCTCCATGGAGACAAGGACATTCATCCTGCATCAGGAATACAAAAATATGAAGACCCTTCCATGGAAGATTTGCTAACACGAGTGCAGGGAAAACTCATTAATATTACTGCTATTTAATGACTTAGAATATGGTGCACTGCAAATGCTAGAAAATATAATTCTTGACCTAACAAACATACTGTTTAAAGTAACTGCTTGGGGAAAAAAAAAAAAAAAAAAAAAAAAAAGAGAGAGAAAGGGAAAGAGAATGAGAAAGAAAGAGAAAGAGAATGAGAAAGAGATGCAGTAAGTAGCAGTATTGTCAC